AAAAAAAAAAAAAGTCTTTGTCATCACTGCGCAAAACAGCTCTAACCTCCGTAACTGGCGCTCCGGCTCCCGCGCGGGCATCTCCTGACGGGCTGGACGCGTCTCCCGCGCCCGGGACGGTGTCTGGGATCCGCAGCCTCTGCTGCGGCTTCCAGGCCCTTCCTCTCGCAACTCGGAGGCTGAGGCGCGCAGGGGCCGCCAGGGGTCGGGCTGGCGAGCGACAGCCCACGTCGCGCAGCTGAAGTGCAGGCCTGAGCAGCGCAAGCGTGTGTCAACCAAAACGGGGACATGGGGACGTGGAGAGAAGGGTGTGTCCCAGCCACAGGGGCAGACCTGGGACAGTGCGCGGGCACAGCCCCCGGGCAGCTCAGAGGTGCCAGCGTGCTGTCCCGGGCAGGTCACAGCCACTGTCACAATGGCCCCGGGCAGTCCAGGCCTCGGCAGCTGGGAGAAGCCAGCAAAGCTGCTGGAGAGGCTCCATCACACCCGAGGCGCCGGGCTGGCAGCTTTCAGGCTTCAGGGCCCCGGACGCGAACGCGGGGGAGCCGCAGTCACAGAGAGACAGACACAAACAGTGGCAGACCAGAGCTCATAGGGCACAGTTTGTGAACTTACAAAGTATCGTTTGAGCACTTCTCGTTCCCCAGTCCCCAGACAAAAGTGCAGAAATGCAAACCTGACGACGTGTGCACCTGCCGGAGGGCTCGGTCCCCAGCTGCTGGGAGCACTGTGGCCCCGCACGGCCTGCCCGAGAGATGAGGGCGGCGCTGCCTTCCCAGAGAAGCCACCTCGCTCACTGAGCAGCCTGGGCCCCTGCACCCACACCCCTGCCCAGGACAACCCCTCCCAGCTTCAGGGACCCCACTGTGCTGCTCAACGTGTCCCTTGGCCCAAACCTCCTTCCTGCCCTTTCTTCCCCGAGTACACAGGAGGTAATCCCAAAGTCCTCGCTGCCCACCTAACCTGTACTGATGACCTGCTCAGAGTGGGCCTCCCGGGGACCCCAGCCCACACCGCATGGTATCAGAGAGACCAAGAAAGCCAGGGCGGGGTGGGGCTGCACCAGGCCCCGCCCACCCGGAAACAGGGACCCATCGCTGGAAGCCGGTGGTGCACGCCGCCAAGCACAGGTAGGAAGCGGAACTAGTAAAAACTGGCACCAGGAACAAAATGGAATGGTTTTTTGTGGATGGATGTGCACTAGGCGTGACATAGCAAGTGTTCAGGAAATACGGGGATACCGTCACTGATGGGCAGTTCTTGTGAAGCAGGAGTGAGGCTTTGGAAAAAGAAAACAAAAGGCCACGAGTAATCAAATGCTTAGCGTGCAAACCAGAGGGCCTCGCTGGCAGCAGAGAGAGAGGCTCATGCTGCCCGTGGTGGGAAAGCAGACAGAGCCAAGGACCAGACCAGGACTCAGTCATCAGAAGAAAAGGCAAGGGGATGGACTTACCGTCATGAGTGGCAAGATGAGAGGGGTGGCCAGGAATCCCGACCCACTGAGAGTTATGGAGAACTCAGAGAGAACATAACACAGCTTCCCAACGGGAAAAATAGATGCATAGCCTAGCAGTCTCTATACAGTAGAGACTACTCTATCTGTACAGTCCAAAGAGATCAAGACAGATAGAAAGGAGGCTAAGGGCAGCCACTCAATAAAAAGTCATTATTCTTTGCCAAATATCTGGACTTGAACCAGTTTTCCGACTTGGAACCCACTGACCAAAAGAGAAGCTCAATGCCCAAGAGGAATTGCCCTGAAACACCACACTACATGGTAAAGATCCCCCAGCCCAAGAGACCGGCGGCCATGGACTTGCCTAGTGGCGCGCTGGAGAAAAAATGACCAGATATTTGAAGAATCACTGGACACTGAGTCTGATGTGGATAGTAGAGACCTGAGGTGACAGCACAGATCCCCTTACAGAGGGTGGCGTGCGTCAGAACACAAGTGGAGGCCAGCTCACAGGGCCTACCCACTTTGCAGGCCACCCCAGCGTCATCTGTCATCCCCAAAGGGAGACCTCCTGGTGGGGGCTTGGCCTGTGGGGTAAGGACCACCTTCGTCAGGAAGTTGGAATATGAGCCCTGTAAGTGCCCTCCCTCCACTCCCAGCCAGGACACCGAATCAAAACCAGCACATTGGCCACAGGAAAGCCAGAGAATGAATCAGGGCAGATAAGGGATCAATGGGAAGGGTGACCTTCGAGCCCAGACCTGAGGGATGTGAGGGCTGGATGGGAAAGTGAAAAACCGACTCCAGCGTTTTGGTTTCAGCATCTGGAAGGATGGCGGCGGTGTCTACCAAGATGCGGATGCGAGAAAGTGGGTTTGGAGACCACGTGACACCTGAGCATAGACCCGCGGAGGGTCCTGGGCTGGAGGCTGCCAGCGAGAGCCTGAGTGCACTGGATGCAAGAGGACCAAACTCCCAGCTCTGGGGAGGAAGTAAAGCAGGGAAAGAGAGAGAGAAGCCCATGAGGCGGGAGAGAGACCAGGAACCTTGCAGCATCTGGAAACGAAGTCAGGGGAGTGTGTCCACTGTGTGGGGCCGACAACGGTCCCCGGGACCTGCGGCCGGGAGGCACCGGCGACCTCGACAAAAGCACTGCTGAGGTCAAAGGCCTGACTGGGACCGATTCAGGGAAGAAGGGGCGGAGAGCGTGCAGGACAGGCTGTGACCAGCCAAAGACGGGGAGCAGAGGGTCTGTAAGGAAGGGGGCTCGGTGGCACACACGGGGTAGGGAAGACGGTGGGGGGAGGGAGTCACATCCTGGTGGGGACCGGGTGACGGGACACGGTAGGGGTGCGGACAGGGGAGCATGAGGGCACCAGGCGGGTGGCCATGAGGTGTGGGCAGGAGCTGTGGACACTTGTGTGAGGCCATAGGGGAAGACATGGTCAGCACAGTGGGTCCTCTGGGACACGGGTATGAGGTGAGCGGGTGGGGACACAGTGATCCGGGCTCTGACGGCACATTCTGCATAAAGGGAAGGACAGGGCCTGGTGCAGACACGCTGTGGGGGTATCAGGTATGGTCAAAACTCTTTAAATGCCCCTCATTTCCTTACCCGAGGCCAGTGTCTAAAGGGCACTGATGGTTACTTGACCTTGGAATTGCCTCTCCTTAGTAGACGGTGTCCCTGCCAGAGGACAGAGTGTGTGACGTCATGGCACAGACTGGCTGCTGTCTTCTGTTCCAGCTCCACCTCCTGGGAGTGGTGCCCGGTACTCACCGTGGGTCCCGGATCCTGCGCCCGCCAGCGGAGCCTGGTACTCACAGTGGGTTCTGGATCCTGTGACCGCCAGCGGAGCCTGGTACTCACGGTGGGTTCTGGATCCTGCGACCGCCAGCGGAGCCCGGTACTCAGGATCGGTCCCGGATCCCACGCCCGCCAGCGGAGGCCGGTACTCACGGTGGGTCCCGGATCCCACGCCCGCCAGCAGAGGCCGGTACTCAGGATCGGTCCCGGATCCCACGCCCGCCAGCGTTGGCCGGGACTGATAGCAGCTGTAAAAACACAGGCTGAATGAAGGAGGGACGTGAGGTACAAGGTGCAGGAAAGGGTCTGGGATCAGTTGGGAGTCGGGCCTCGGTAGTCGGGCCTCGGTCCCTGGGGAAGCGGCAGCGGGCAGACGCGGACAAATCCTGCAAGTCCGCTAACCTTGAAGTCAGAAGGAACTCCACCTGGAGCGGCTGGGAGGCCCCGCAGCTCCGAGCGCACAGCCGGCTTCTGTCGGCGCCGCGTGATGGCCCCCACGCGCACCCGCGCACCCGCGCACCCGCGCACCCGCGCACCCGCGCACCCGCGCACCCGCGCACCCGCGCACCCGCGCACCCGCGCACCCGCCCCGACACTCCGCTCCAAGGCCGGATCCGGGCTGCGCTGCAGCCAGCGCCCTCCGCGCCCCGGGCGTCTCTGCGTGTTACACGGTTACCTCGCTGAGCCCTGCGGGGAGAAAGCACAACGAGACGGGAATAACGTTTCCTGCGACGGTAGCGGGGGCGAGTGCGTGGGTGCGGGCAGCCCGTCACCCTGCGTCCCGGGCCACCTGCGAGGCTCGAGGTCCCTGAGCTCCCGCGGTTCTGAGTCGGCGGGTCTCCCGTGGCCCGTGGCGCTGCCACGGTAACAGCTTTCTGTGCGGGTCCCCTTGAGGGAAAGGCATACTCTGTTTTTCTTTTCATCCTCGGTACCGCTGTTGAAAGGGAGAAGCCTCGGAAACGCAAAGCTGAGCTGATGGCTCGTTAACAAGAGAGCGAGCGGTCTCTTCTCAACAAAGCACAAAGCGAGAGTTCATTTTTTTCCCTTTATTGAAGTCTACTTGACAAACAAAAATTATTTCTCTATATGAAGGCACACAACTCGGGGTTGTGATACATGTCTACACTGCAAAATGATCACCACGTCAAACTAGTCAACATAGCCTCACATGGTTCCTTTTTTTTTTTTCAGGGCTGGCCCCTCTCAGAAGCAGAATGCATAGGGATTGCCTGACCTCTAGTCACGCAGGTGTGTCCGTGGGAGGGACAGTCCCGGCAAGCTGGCTCTCACAGGTGCGATGCTGTCACCAGCCCCTGGTTTGCAGAGCTGCGGTCACTGATGCTGTCATGGATTAGCTGAGGCCAGTCGCAAACCGGTCTGGCATTACTTGAGCGATGAGTAGAGAGCAGGTGGGTCTTTCCTTGGTGTTTTACTCTCAGTGCCCAATAGGGTGTCTTCTTTGGTTAGTACTTGTTTAGAATGATTTAATAAAATCACTTTTTTCTCCCACTCCATAACAAACAATATGCCTTAAAAGTCCATAAGAACAACATCTTAAGAGGCACCTGGGTGGCTCAGTCAGTTGAGTGTACGACTTCAGCTCAGACATGATCTCATGGTTCACGAGTTTGAGCCCCGTGTAGGGCTCTGTGCTGACAGCTCCGAGCCTGGAGCTGCTTCGGATTCTGTGTCTCTGTCTCTCTCCACCCCTCCCGCACTTCGTACTCTGTGTCCCTCCCTCTCTCCATCTCTTACGAAAATAAACATTAAAATTTTTTTAAAAAAATGAAGATGGAAAATTAGCAAATGCAGTAAATATTGGTGTCCAAAAGTAGCCATCTAAAATGAACTCTAACAGGAAAGCAAAATTTCATAGAAAACAAGTATTTTTGTATTTTATTTTGAAAAACATACTGAAATAAAAAGAAGTATATTGTCTCTTAGTTTACAATTCCAAAAAGCCAAGAATTCACTGTATTTTTGGCATCACTTCCTGAAATCCTTCATCATGTTTGACCATCCCAAAATCATCACAGAGAGGGTCATTTGTATAAAAACATAAAAGGACTTCAAGAAATTTTCCCCAAGGTCTGCATGAAATCTCTTGCTAATTAAAGCACTTACTAGTCACCACCCTGGCTGATTTTTGCCTTGTTTTCAAGTATTTTCATCAACTTATTTTCAGTTCTTGTTTGTCAAGCACGTGGCCATCTCCAACATTACCTTGGACAGCTTCACACGATCCTGTAAATTTGACAAGATTTAAAATTTCACTTAGACATCAATTTCCAATGACGAGAAGGCCTGACACACAGGGATGTATATTCAAACAGGTGTTTGAGGAGGAGGGGTCATTGGTTTAGTTTCATGCTCTGCCGTCAAGTGCAGGGATGTGACATTGACTCTCAGATGTTCCGCACCACCCAGAGCAGGAAGGAAAACTTCCAGCATGTAGTCGAACTCTCATTTTATAATTCAGCCGAAGGAAACCGAACCAGTAACCCCAGGTCATGCAACAAACGAGGAACAGCTCAGGCTAAATTCCAGCTCTGCACTGTGTCCTCTGTAATCAACCAGGTGGAAAGAAAATGCAGTTGATGTGACAAGACTTACTCTCTTGTCACCCCCCTCCCAACCTGGAGAATCCAAATAGCTCATCCCCGAACCTGCTCAGTCACTCTCCCCATAAAAGGCCAGCCCTAGGCTGACAGAGCCCAAAGCCTGCACTGAGCAGTGTGGGATCAAATCACTGTTCACTGGGTCTAAACAAGGGCGACAGCATGGTTATTAGCTAATCCTGAAAACTGCTGTTTCAAAAGCAATATTCAGGGGGCGAATCACTGAAATAAAAACAAAACCAACCAACCAACAATTCACGTATCATCTAACAGGAAACAAAGGGAGAGGATCCACCCCACTAACTGAGGGCTTCTAATCCGCCAAGCCAGGCTGCAAGCCCCAGCCTGAAGCCTCACCCTGCCCAACCCCACCCTGCTGGGCTTTTTCTCCAGAACATCTTTAGGGAGGGGCTGGTCTTATGCAAGGCGGGTAACACTTTTCATTGCCTCCTGGCTCTGGAACCCAGCAGCAAGGCGCGTGGAGGTGGGTGAGAAACCAAAGTGACAGAGAGGCAGTTAAGCAATGCAGGTGTAACACATAATTTTCTTCCTGACTGAGTAATAAAATTCACCTTGGAACCACGGTTGTTGGTTCGTAGGGGATATTACAAACCAGCTCAATCCGGCTTGTAGAGAAAGAACTAACAAATCCTCGCAGTCACTTCTGAACTCAGAATTACACGGCCTGACCTGAGAAGTTCTAAATAGTCTTTTCCACATTCTAGAAGTATTCTTCATTTGGCCAAGGAAGTCGCCAATGGTGACCTGGTGTTAAACTGCACTTGGACCTGAGCCATGCAAATCGGGCCAGTATATAAAGTATTTGCTTTAGATACTTCAGTGGTTACTCTTGGCTTCAAGCTGAAATTCTCTGGTCACTGAAAGCTTGCAGCTCAGGAGTTCTTTCCTCAATTGGCCCTCCAGCCGCACCTTTCCAGGGGGTGTGAGCTCCCACCAGCGCCCTGGTCCTGCTCAGCCAGCCTCGGACCCAGCTGCACCCCTCCTGCCTCCATAGCCCCCTCTGCTGGGCCATGGCCTTCTGTTGTTTCTTCCCGCGGAAAGCCCTCCTGACACCTTGAACCTGGCCTAGAGACCTCTCTCAAGTGGCCCCGGAGCACCCAGCAATTCTGCCCTCACAGCTCTCCCCGCTGCCACTACTGGCCCCTCCTCCCCCCCCCCCCCACCCGCCCTGCACGGGCTTCTTGAGGGTTATTTTACACGACGTCCCCGGTGCCTGGAAGCTAGTGGATGCTCGGCGGCCAGGGGTTGGATCCGATGGAGTCTGGGAAGAAGCTAACGCTGATGAACACCTACCAGTGCTAGGCACCCCACTAATTTAGATACATCTTTCTTTTAACCCCTCAACGGCCCTAAACTGTAAGGCTCATTAACCCCATTTTGTGGGTAATGAAATCAAGTCTACAGGGTTCGTTGTGGCAAGGAACGCGCGGGGTAGGATTGAGCAGTCAGCAGCTGCGACGCCCTCTTCTGCAGGCGGGTGTCAGTGCGCAGGCCCCGCCCACCCTGCCGGGGCCCCGCCCACCCCTCCCTGACGCCCCGCCCCCGTCCAGACGCTCCGCCCACGCTTCCTGGGGCCCGCCCCCGCCCGGACGCCCCGCCCAGCCCTGCCCGGGGCCGCTCCCTCGCCCCAACCTCCTGCAGCGCCACAGTGGGCAGCAGTGCCCCCTCAGCATCCTGCACTGCTTGGGCGGGAAAGCGTCCCGGCGGCCTAGGCGTGTGGCCCAGGAGACAATGGGAAAGGTGGTCAGCAAAGAGGGGTGGGTGTCCCCGCGACGTGCCCTGTGGACAGATGCGGGCACGGCTGCTACCGTCTGGGACAGCAGCATCTCTACCTTGTCCTAGGCCGGTCTCGCCCCTGCAGCCTCGACTGGTGGCGTCTCTGCGACACCCCTGCTCCGCCAGGCCGCGTCTCCCCGACAGAGGCCAGCCCTCCCCGCGCCAGCTCGACAAGATGCCCTGGGCAGGGGCAAGTGCAGCTGGACTATCTGCCCAGTGGAGGGTAGTTAGGGGTGCCTGGCGCGGGGCTGCGGACGGCTGGGTGCTGTGCTTCCGGGGTTGGGGGGGAGGGCAGGCGGGCGCTATGTCCCAGAGGGGGAGGGGGGAGGGCAGGCGGGCGCTCTGTCCAGGAGGGGGACGGGGGAGGGGGGAGGGCAGGCGGGCGCTCTGTCCAGGAGGGGGGGGGAGGGAGGAAAGTTGGGCACTCTGCCTCGGGGTTGGGGAGGGTTGGTGCAGGGCTGTGAGCACAGTCAGCCGGTGCCCGGGCGTGGCCTGGTTCCCACATCTGCCTCCTGGGCACCTGCCAGCAGCACGCTCTGATGCCCTGCTCTGAGCCTGAGACCCACTCTCTGCACATGTCTGCCTGGGACACGGAGCTCACGGGCTCGACTCACCTGTGGCGCTGTCTCCCCGGAGATGGGGGGCTCCTTAGGTCAGGGTCTGCTCTGCTGTCCCGGCTCCAGCACGGTCCTGGGACTCAGGAGCGGGGCTCTGGGACACCCCGTCCCTCCAGTGGTCACCAGGGAAAGCTTCCAAGCAAGTGAATTGTCCCGTGGCCCATGCAGGGTTGTGCAGGGGACCACCAGAGAGTAAGATCACCCTAAAGGAGGAGGCATCACAAGCACGCAGGTTAACCTTTCCTTCGTGTGATCTATACATCCAAGCTACTCAGATTTTGAGGCAAATTACTGCATTTTACATCCACCATCCTTTCCTCCCTGTTTCTAACCCACCCTTACACTAGGTGTAAATTACTGTGGGAATTCTGAAAGAGTCATATCATTTATACTCAGCGAAGGGACTTCTATCTTGATCGACCCCATTCTCCTCCACAGGTTCCTATGCAGAGTGAGCCCTGGACACTCCCGAAGTGGGCGCTACTAGTTTCAATGACCACAGAGGCCCAGGCAGGACTTTTCACTTTTCAAAGGAAGGAATTCATGCTTAACCTCATCTATGACATTCATTCAGTTACAGATGGTTTTTAAATTGTAACTTAAATATTCAAATTAAGTGCTGCCTTATTGGGAGGAGATTATATACATGCTTATTTAACAAGGCTGTCATTTCTCAAAACATTTTCTGACATGTTTTAGATCATGAGAAAAGCAAACTTGTTTCGTTAGAATAATACCTCAAATACACAGGATTCTGACTGGAGGATGAGCAGGCTGAAGATCTTCTGGTCCCCACTTCCCTCCAAGTTTCTTCAGTTCACATTTAGTGTTCTTTCAACACAAGCAGGTGAAAATCCCTTTGCCGACGCAAAAAGGAACAGGCCTGACCGACCTCATTTCGCCAGAGGGAATGCGTGGTGTCATGTCTGCCAGTGCTTGAGGACACGTGTGCATTTTCCTTGCTTTCCTTTTCCTTGAAATTGTACCAGGAAGTTGCAGATGCTCTGCGCTAACCTATCGCTCTCAGTAGAAGCTCAGTAAATGACCTCCAGCAAAGCTGGGTCACTTTGACCTTGGCTGTACTGATCTTCATCATCCTAGTTCTCTCCACCCCACCTCCCACCCAGTCCCGTCCCACCAACAGATGTCCTTCTGTCACCTACGTGTGTCCTGCTGTCCTGCATTCTGTCCCTTGTGTGTCCTATGTCCCCGTGTGTCCTTCTGTCTCCTGTGTCCTTCTGTCCCCTATGTGTCTCCTTTGGTCCCCGTGTGACTCCTTCTGTCCCCATGTATGTTCTTCTATCCTGTGTCCTTCTGTTCCCTACTGTGTCCTGTCCCCTGTGTGTCCTTCTGTCCCCTATGTATGTTAACAAAAGGACTCATCTAAAGCTCACAGTGCCTTTTAGAGGGCACCTTTTGGGGCGCCTGGGTGGTTCAGTCAGTTGAGCGTCTGACTTCAGCTCAGGTCAAGATCTCACAGTTCATGGGTTCAAGCCCCGTGTTGGGCTCTGTGCTGACAGCTCAGAGCCTGGAGCCTGTTTCAGATTCTGTGTCTCCCTCTCTCTCTCTCTGCCCCTCCCTCACTCATGCTCTGTCTCTGTCTGAAAAATAAATAAACATTTAAAATTTTTAAAACAAAGTACCTCTTTTTTTAGGCTGCCCTTGAGGACTGAAATAGTGGGAAATTGTTAAGAATTCTTTCTTTTCTTTTAAAGGAATGTGTCTGTAAATACGTAAGTACTGTGGGTGAGGCTCGCGGTCATCTCGTATCAGGTGTCCCTTTCCTGAGAATGCCAGTTCTCACGCATCCACACTAGTCTCTCCCGGTCGGCACCCCAGCCCTGATCCTGTCTACACAGCCCTGCGGTCTCTGCGGCACTAGCAGTCACACCGCCAGCTCCTCTCCATGCACCCCTGCCCTGACCCTGGTTACATAGCCCTGTGGTCTCTGCAGCACCGGTGGTCACTCCTTTCCCCAGATGTCTAGCTGCCTCATCCGCTTTCCGGTGGAGACAGGAAGTGAGAGCATGAGCTGATCTCTGCTGCTGTCCGTCAGGCTACTGCTGCGTTTCCCACCTTGGCTAGAGGTAAACACAGCTCACGACACCCTTTCCTACCATCTCTCAGCCCTATGTCTCTTTACACCCTCCTCCTCCAGTTTGTGCACAAAGCTTGAGACAATCTCAAGGAGAAACTTACTAAAATCTAAAACTAGGACCATGCTCTAAAAATACTTGGAGTATGAATAGAGAGGATGGTCTGAGGGTGGATATACAGTTGACCCTTAAACAATGTAGGGGGTGAGGAGGCATCAACCCCCACACAGTTGAAAACCGACATCTAACTCTGGACTCTCCCCAAAACTGAACCACAAATAGCCTACTGCTAACCAGAAGCCTTAACAGTAACATATATCATTGATTAACCTGTATTTTATATGTTATATGTGTTATATAACATATTCTTAATCCAAACTCAGCTACCAGAAAAGAAAATGTTATTAAGAATCACAAGGGAAATCGATTTATGGTAAATCTGCACGTAAGTGGATTCACAGAGTTTGAACTGTATTGTTCAAGGGTCAGCTCTACTGTTAAAACCTAACAACCACCCCCACCGTCCTGAACATGAGACAGAGTAAGGCCGGAAGGATGTGAGAGAAAAGAAAGACTTGTCACCAAACTCTGTATACTCTACTCTATGGAATCAAAACTCTAGGCAATCAAAACTCTAGGGAATCAAAAGGCAGCATCCAGGAAGAGAGCAGATTGGGCAAACAGACCCATTTCTAGGCACCCATCTGCATCACCAAAGATGTCGTTTACAAGGAGTGTGCAGTCAGGCAGGTGGAAAGGGTAGAGAATGCAGGGCTCCGGACTGGACTCTGAGCTTTATCAGTAACTGTGGTGCAAGTCCTGTTTCCCATTCGAATGCCCAGTAACTTAGTGCTGGGTCTAGTAGCCGTGCTATGAAGTCCTCCCAGCACCAGGCAGGAGTTTTAACTTAAACAGATGTGATGCATATTAATGGCCTAATGTGACATCAAAGGAGGAGTCTGAGATTATTTTCTTTCTTTTCTCAAATGGACTTTGCTCTGGCTCCTTTTCTCACATTGTCAGGCTTGGTGTGACGTCTAGAGGCTCAGTGTTAGAAACAGACTGTTACTTAAGGATTCGCCGTGTGGCTGTGGCTGCCACTCACCGAGACTAATTTCCTGTGCAGAGATGGGCCCACGGTCGGCTCTACCTAAAGCAAAAGAGAACAAAATGAACTCAGGAAGGCTTAGGATATCATACCAACAAGTATCGAGAGTAAAACTTTCTTTAGAGAGTCTGTTTCTATTACTTTATTTTATAAATGCTGTTTTTCAAATATTTTAACATATAAGAAATAAAAAACATTTTGAATTAATCTGTGTAAGGTCTAATACTTGAAAATGGGATATGTTCTGTGTATCACTAAAGTACACAGATAGAATAAAATTTAATAATTTGATTTCAGAATCTTCCTATCCCCTACTGTCATACTCAGGGAAAACACAGAAAGATGAGCAAAAATACACTGTAGACCAATAAATAAAATGTAGACTTGATAAAAATTTTGAATGTGTAATTTAGTTTTGAGAGAGAGAGAATGATTGGGGGGAGGGGTATGAAGAGAGAGGGAGACACATAATCTGAAGCAGGCTCCAGGCTCCAAACTGTCAGCACAAAGCCCAATGTGGGGCTCAAACCCACAAACTGCAAGATCGTGAGCTGAGAGAAGGTCAGACACTCAACCTACTGAGCCACCCAGCCACCCTTAAAATGGAGACTTTAAAGGCCCCCCCCCCCCACTTTTTTTTACGTTGAGGAATTTGAAAGAGAAATTTCTTTTTGTAAATGTCAACTGATCTTACAAGCCTAGCTAGATGCTCACTATTCCGTTTGGCTTCCCAGCCTCCAAGCAGAAGGTGCTGTATTCGCAGAAGCCCTGAGTGTACCACAGAGGTAGAACGCTGCGTATCTGCTTTGGGGGTCTACTGTGTGTCCGGAGTGGAGGCGTGTGGCCAAGGTGTTTGCCAGTAGAAGTTCTCTCCACGACTCTGAGTGGGAAACCAGTGACACACAAAAAGCAGAGACCACACTGACTCTGCTCTGGCACCAGTGGCCACGGAGGTGGCTGCTGGGACCACTTCGCAGGGGCAGCGGTGACACTTTGCATCCTGGTCTGAGCTGTGTGAGTGATACAGGTGGCAGTGTGTGCCCAGCAGACCCCGTCTGGGGCATGTTTGGGCTTAAGTCCCAGCTCATTTGTAATCTCTAACTCTGATTATCTGGCTCCTGTGGTCTGTGATCTACTCAATATATACTTTATACTTCATATTTTATATCTTTTTTAATTTAAAAATATATTTTAATCTGGTTTCCGCAAAATATAGCTAAATTTGGTTTTGTTGCTCATAACAAGAAACTAGGGACAGGAGCAGCTACAGGGAGCAGGCTCTCAGGAAATCACTAGAATCTGGGCGTCCTCATTTGGACTCTGAGGGCAGCAGGAAACGTCAACCTAGCATAAAGGACAGAACTCTGGGCGCCCGAGCCACACAGTGGCGAGCTGTTAACCAGAAACGCGTCTCAAGTGCTCATGAAAGGCAACACTATGGAGAAAGCAGTGGTGACCCACACAGAACAGTATGAAAGCCACAAGGAATTCATCTCTGGGAGCGGGTACTGGCTGCTGGAGTCCTCAACTGCTGGCCACGGGCCAGCTGAGAACAAGAGCCTTTCTGTGACGGCCCTGAAAGGGAAATGTGTGACTTCCAGTGACCGGGCTGAGGCGGACGAAGCCAGACTCCAAGCCGCATCTTGCTGGTTGCCGCACTAGTCGAATTCAGATTCCCCGGTTCCAAGAAGCGAAAGTCAGAGCTCCGGGAAAGCACGCCACCAAAGAGCTGACATGCGTCTCCAACACGCTGTGAGCCTCCCTCGCGAGACGACGTTGCCGGCCTCCCTTCCCACCAGCCGTCTCCCCTGCTGCCTTGCGGGCCTCTCCAGACGCAGCACCTGCTCGCGACAGCCAGCCAGCTCTGCGTGTGCCCTGGCCCGGGGCCAGACTCGGGGCCCAGCCCGCCCCGCGCGGCCAGCCACAGTCAAACCCAGGGGAGAGGGTTCTGCGAGTTTACGGCAGGAAAAAAGAAAGAGGAAGAGCTAAGCGCGAGCTCTGTCGGTGGAAAGATTCGACCTTGAGATTAGACTGAGATGGTCGATGTGGCCGAGGTTACCGGAGAACCTGCCATCGCTGGGCTGGATCCAGCGGCTGGGAGCCGTTCCAAATGTGCTCCGTTTTTACGGTAAGCGTGGGGCCGCTGGGCGCACCCCTGCCCAGACCTGCTACGGCAGCTTCCTGCAGGCCCGGCAACGCAGAAAGCCACGAAAACAGCGGGGACCCGGAACTATACTGTATTTCTGCAGCTGACTAAGAAATTCCTTTTACGGACATAGGTGGACCCTTGAGTGATGACCTGGGTTTTCCTTCTTTCAGCCTAAAGCGATACAAAAGGCAGCTTCCTGGGGCACCTGGCTGGCTCAGTGGGTGGAGCATCTGACTCGATTTCGGCTCAGGTCATGCTCCTAGGGTTGTGAGTTCGAGCCCCACGTTGGACTCTGGGTGCAGCGCCTGCCTCACTCTCTCCCGGTCCCTCCCCTACTCGCTCTCTCTCAAAATAAAGAAATAAACTATTGGCACACCTGGGGGGCTCAGTCGGTTAAGTGTCCGACTTCGGCTCAGGTCATGAACTTGCTGTTCGAGCCCTGCATTGGGTTCTGTGCAGGCAGCTCAGAGCCTGAAGCCTGTTTCAGATTCTGTGTCTCCCTCTCTCTCTGACCCTCCCCCGCTCATGCTCTGTCTCAAAAATAAAAACTATAAAAAAATTTTTTAAGTCTTTAAAAAAACCTCTACAAAAAGAAAGAAAGAAAAGGCAGTTACCATGCTTCTAAAATTGGAAGACCCGACGAATTCATTACTGTGTGAAGACTGCTCAGGGCACCAAACTTAGGATTCACCTCTGGGGGTTAATGGGGTTGGGGGGTGGGAATCCTGAGGTGTTTGTCTACTCGCACCAGCATGTATCCTGAAGGATCTGTGTATGTTCTGAAGCAATTGCAAAGTCAAGTGAAGCGACAGGGACCCACCCATGTGTTCTGGCCCAGCTGACCGGGCTTATTGCCCTTGAGATACTAGGGATTCCCTGGTATAATGTGAAGGAAATGAGTCAAAGGCCTGGGAGGATGGGAAGGTTGGTGAACTGCTCACTCCTCTCCTGGCTATGTCCCTTGAAGGGCAGGAAGACATCGTTCACCAAAACCTTGAGAAATATGGGGAAGGAGTGGACAGGAGTCTTTGCATATTGCCAAAGTGGCTTCAGGGATCACCGCATCTGAAATGAGCGCCCTGATTCCCGTCAGGAGGAAGATCACGGGGCAGAGGTGAGAACTGT